CAGCCTAGCACGTGCCAGGCTGGCCACTGAGTGGCTAGTTGAAATACTAGCGTGACGCTTTAGCGTCGTTACAACCCACCTGCCATCAGCTGTCAGATTTTTTTCGGCGTACAATTGGGGCATAGTTTTGGTGCGATAGTGCATGGCACAACAGCGTGTTCGATGTCTTTTGTTCGACTGAATGAGCTATGTATTATCGCAAACTTGCATTGTGACTTTGCGCTAGCTTTACGCGCAGTAAATTTGCACGTTTCCTGAAATCGAATTGTTTGTATCAAATAATTGTTCCATTTGTATGCATCCCACGGCACTGTTTCAACTTGAAGCCTTAAAATAACCGCCACCATTGGTCGCTTCTCGATAGCCTCTCAACTGAATGTGGAATCAGTCAACCTAAGCATAACGCAAGAATCCTTGATTGTTTTTTTTCATATAGAATTTCTAAGTTATGATAACCAAGCAGGGGTAGCAGGTAAATCTTTAACATCATTGTCTGACAGCAACCAATCAATGACCACTGGAGTAATCATGTGGCAGCATGATAGGCGGGCTACTTGTCCCATCACGATGCGCAAGTGAAAGTAAACTTAGCCAACAGTCAGACTGGTATTTCATTAGGCTGCTTAGATGCTATATATGCGAGCACAGTGTTCCACTTAGTATCTTTTTCCACCATCTTTTTGCTGTAAGCATTCAAATGCGACTTGTTTTGAGCAAGTGCTTCAGGCATTTGATTGACGTTGAAAATGTTAGTCAAAGGGGTATTGATATCTGCAGCTTTAATCGTGGCCATTGCAGTGGTTCGTGTCCTTTCTTGATGCCACAATATAATTTACACGAAATGGGCACCAACAGCTGATACAGCTCTCTGTGACAGATGTTCAAAAGAATTGTAATCTGGTTAGCATTAAAGATGCGGACGGTTTTTTTCGACTAGTCTTTGTACACCTTGCTTACAATGCCTTCAACCGCGCATGAGTCTACCACCACCTGTTGACGTTTATGTTGTTGAATTTAAAATTACAATTGGCGTCACTTCAGAGTACCCATTTGCTGCGGCCGCGACGCCCAAATTATTATCTAGACATTCTGTGAAATTCTGCACTTTACTATACCTCTTTTGGATCACTTACAACTGCAGTATATGTTACCCGGCGTCAGCACTCAGCACGGTGTCGACGTCTCTCAGTTGAAGTTGGGTCCTTAGCGACCAAATTGTCTGACCGCACAGATCTTCTAGCGTGATGCGCTCAGAAACCAAGCTGACTTATACGCCGCTTCGGCTACGGAATGCCCGACGTTAGAATTCACTGGCAACTTCGGGCGGATATGGTAGTCAGAAAGCGAAGCGATATCATCATGTTGCATGCGAACATTTTTATCAGTGCGTGCCTTTGGTGTCTGTTTGGTCAGTCGAACCGGGTAGACATGATACACCTTCAAACATGCGTATGGGGTCCAACATCGTAACGTTCTATTTCAATGAATTTATTTTGATATATAGAAGTGGGGTTTATCCTATGCAGCGGATAGTCGGAAGTCTTATGCGATGTATAAAAACTATGTACTCTTCTCTCGCCTGTTACTCCTAAAGTCACGTAAACTAATGATACTCTTATGAGCACTTTTGGACAGGAAAAACTAATCCTCATCGAAAATAATTGTTAGCGTGGTAGAGCTAATGCGAAGCTACAGATCAATTGTCGGACAGGCGTTCGAATTCGGCGTCCTACACTTTCTTTTTTAAGCTCGCTTATCGCAACCAAAGTGTGGATAGAACAAATTCAACAGTACTCTGGTCGATGCATCTCGCAACACTTCCATATTCATGTGTCGCGGTAAGTGTGTAGCGCAACGGGTTTGTCATGCACCTTGCACAGAGGAAACCCTGATTAAAAGAGTCTGCGTCAACAAACGCGCAGAGATTGAATAAAGGGCGGAACCGAGAGCGCTTACCATAATTATGAATCAACCATTTCAATAAAGCCTAACGTACAGACAATCACGGCAAGTGCAATGTGAATTGTAGTGTAGTGTTTTGTTCTGTATACCATCGTACTTAATGTGTCAGGGATTAGTACACAAATTTATACCCATGTCATCCGTCTTCACTTAATTTGTCATCGCAAACCACATACTCATAGCTAACAAAAGCTAAGCTATTTGACAGCTAAGCTAGAAAAAGCTAGCTGTTTACTGTTAGCTTAGCTTAGCTTAGCTTTTTGCTTG